GCATGCCAGGGAAGTGCCCTGCCACTAAACAGGCTGTACGTTTTTGAAGGGATGGGAGGTCTGGTGAACTTAAGTGTTACTGTTCCCCCTTCACCATCAGTTACTCTTTTATAATGTACTGAACACAGTAATAAGCCTTTTACATGCATTTTTTAATTCTTAAAAATCACTGAGGGAGGTGCTCTTATCCTCAATTTGCAAGTGAGGAAATGAAATTTGAGGAATTAAAAGTAACTTCACAATTGTTTTTTTGAGAGAGAGAGACTTTTTTTAATGTTTATTATTTATTTTTTAGTTTTTGGTGGACACAACATCTTTATTTGTATGTGGTGCTGAGGATCCAACCCATTGCCCTGCGCATGCCAGGCGAGCGCGCCACCGCTTGAGCCACATCCCCAGCCCTGAATTTCACAATTTTACAGCACTGCAAAATTGTACAGTGAAGTAGCTAAATAAGACAGCACTGTTAGCACTGTTAACTGGGCCCCCAACCCCAGATGCGGTAGTGTCATCATTACAGTCACTTCCAGGTACCCTCATCTCCCCACCTTGCACTCGCCTGGCAAACCCAGCACGGTGAGCACTACTGTCCATCTTCTCTGTAGCTCGCTGAGAAATCGTGTAAATAGACCGAAGGGCTTATTTTACGTCCATAATCACAACGCGCGCCCAGGAGAGAGCTACTTGCCTTCCTCCCTCTAAGGTGGCTTTTCCCACTCTCTGAAAACTCCCTGCACACCATGCCCTCTCTGCTTGCTCCCTACCTCACGGGGAACATTCTGCCACAGTGCTGGTTGGACCAATGTACATACCTATCCACCAGATACCACAGGGATCATTTCACTGAGGCATGCCAATTTGTAACTGTAGTCAACTCAAGGTTTCTGGAATCCTCCCAGGTTAGAGATACAGCCTGCAAAGATGACTACACTTGCAGGAACTCCCTCCATCCAGAAGGAGGCACCGTTGCACTCCATCAGCGTCGGGCCGCCACGGAGGCGTCACGTGATCTGCGCCGGAGGGCGGTCTTGCGAGTTGCCTTACGTACGTAGCGTCATGACGTAGCACGTAGGGGCTGGCTAGCCGCCATCTTGCTCCTTTTTCTCGCTCACTCTCTCCCTCTCGGGAAGGAGCGAAAGTGCTTTGGCGGTTTGTCGATCCGCAGTCTCTGCTTTCGCAGCCCGGCGGCCTTTCCAGCCACCCCCCCCCAACTCCAAGTCCCCCTCCCCTTCCCTTGATCAGAGCTCGGCAGCCCCTCGAACTGTGCTCACCTGACACTCACCCTGGCGGGTAAGGAAAGCGAGGGCGGCGGGGCCGCGATCAAAGAGGGCCCGCCCGGTCGGGAAGGGCCGGCGTGGGGCGGCCTGGGGCGTGGGAGCGCATCCAGACCGGGCCGCGGGGGCGGGCGCCCGCTTTCACCTCGGTGGCCATCGCCTCCGCGTCCGGGGAGGTCGGCCTGCTCGCGGAGCGGGAAACCGGAGCCAGACCCGCCCCACGCGGTCCGCTGCCGGCCGCGCTTCGCTCCCCTCCCCGGCCCGGGCCCTGCGGGAGTGCGCGCGCCGCGGTGAGCGCAGGGGGTCTGCGGCCCGCCGAGTGGAGGCCGCGTCCCCTCGCGGCGCGAGGCTGCCCCAGGCCCGCACCGTGCCTTCGTGTGCGCGGACGGTAGGCTTCGCAGAGGGCGGTGGGGAGAGCCCTGGTTCGGGACCGGATTCGGCCGGAGGCTCTTCGGGGACTCGGCTGCAGCCCGACTTCCGCTAGGGACGGGCCGCCCCGCTCCTCGGGAGGGTTCGGGCTGCTCCTGCTCGCGGTAGGCCGCTCCATCCCCCTAATTTGCGAGGTGGATCCCACTCGGCTGCTTCCTGTCTTGAGATGGCACTGATACTACACTATTATTGTTAGGGTAAAGGCGCCACTTAGGATCGGAGAAAAGAGCGTGCGGGCTAAGGAGGACTTGGGTGGGTGGGTTTCCTTTGCACAGGAGGAACCTGTCCAGTTACTTTTAAGGGACGTATGTTTATTTTAACTTAAGATCTTTTTGAGCGTCTGAAATGTCTGCTGTTCCCAGGCTTCTGAGGCTACCCGGATTTCCGCATTGGCCGGTCTTCAGCCTGGGTTCTTAGATTCGTACCTCTACTGGGTACTTGGGAATTGTACCGGAGGCTGCTCTGCTGTAGGTTTTTCATTTGGAATGCACCAGAATAATCGGAGGATTCTTGATTAAATGCTTGATAGCTTGCTCCTGCAAATAAAAAGGATAAGGTGATATTAAACGCCTACCAAATCTCAAATCCAACAGTTTTTTAAAAAGTAGATTTAACCTCCTGTGTTGGTAATTAAGATGCTGTTGTGAGTGGAGCCATTTTTAGGTGTGTGTCATAGATGCACTGCAGCATCTTTTCTGGCTTGCCCCAAATGCACTGATACCCTAAGAAATCAGGAGTAGGTTGAGTTTGAGTTGTATTTTTTAAATGTGGTAAAATAGTAACTCCTTTTTTTATAACGGAATTTTCTGAGTACAGGCTTTATGTTTTTGAGGGGATGGGAGGTCTGATGAACTTAAGTGTTACTGTTCCCCCTTCACCATTAGTTGCCCTTTTACAATGTATTGAACAGGGTAATAAGCCTTTTATATGTATTTTTTAATACTTAAAAATCATTGAGGGAGGTGCTTTTATCCTCAATTTGCAGGTGATGAAATGAAAGGAATTTCACAAAGGTCATTCAGCAGTAACTGGTGGTACTGTGTATAATCTCAAGCCCATATTGTAAAGCCAAAGGGGATGCTGTAGGCACCAAATGCCTCCTTGTTCCTTGTAAAATTGTAATCTGAAGTAGCTAAATAAGACAGCACTGTTAGCTAGTAGTTTTTCTTTAGCTGGACTTCAGTATATGAACATTGTTGCATGTGAAGGTTACTGTTGCAAGGTGTTAAAAATGGGTTATATCTACTTTGTGGGTGGTAGAAGCCAACTTTTAGGTATTCTTTACTTTTTTAAAGGCCTGTCCAGTGTGTAGAGATAATTTTTACTCTACGTTATCACATATAATTTTATGTGATATTTTTTGGTAGAAAATATCCTCATCAATAAAATAGGAATGATGATAATAGTACTGCTCAAAGACTTTGAATTTTTTTAAAACATTTGTTTTAGTTGTTGATGGACCTTTATTTTATTCATTTATTTACATGTGGTGCTGAGAATTGAATCCAGTGCCTCACACATATGAGGCAAGTGCTCTACCAGTGAGCCACAACCCCAGCCCTTCCTGTTGAGTAAAGAGATTTATTACTATACTTAGTAATACTGGAGGGAGAAGAGTAGAATATTGGTAAAATATTCTCTTCCAAGCATGTATCTTTCTTTGGGTACATAAATGTTTTTTTCTTTCTTCTCTCCTTTTCTTCACATTTACATACTGAATTTTATTTCTTCATGCTTTACAGTAAATATCCCTAGGGTACTGGGTATCTTGCTCAAAATGAAATTTTGTGAAATTTTTTTGCCTCATTCCATCCCCTATCTCTTACCCACCACCTTACTGGTAAAATGCCTTTGAAGATTTTATAATATCCCTGAGTGCCTCCCCCAAGCGCAGTTTCAGCTTGTAAGTCAGCTAACTTGTGTTTTTATCCCGTTTAAGTCATACTGTGATAAACAAGGATTGGTGATTGATAAAATTGGTGAATTAATTACATAAATTTGTACAGAACTTGTGTTCTTAAAGTAAAGGAGATCCAAAAGTTTTGTCGATTATGACTAACAAACTTTCATTTCTGTAATACAAGGCTTGTCATCTTATGAATAGGGTAAGACAATGAAAATTTATCTCAGTCTTAATTGTTACTTAGAAGTCTGAGTTAATGTTAGTTTTCTGAGTCATAGCATTTAAAAATTCTCAGTAATACCAGTCAGAACATCTTTGTGGATCAAAGTTTCTATAGAAAATAAATTTTTCTATTGTTTTCTCCCTAGAACAGTTAAATATAAACCTCTTTTTTGCCAGTTATAGTTCTAATCCTTATTTTGCTACAAATTAAAGTAATGCCAGTCGTGTTTTGGGGCCCCTGTCTCCCTTTAAAGGAAGATGAGATATAACATTTGTGGAGCAAGTCTAGTACAAAAAAAAAAAAAACTGCTGGATATTATGTAGCATGCTACTAGTAATTTTTCTGTTTACTCTCTGTATTCTCATATTAGTCTGTTTTCCTTTAGTGAATTATTTCCACATCCTCATCACCTTGTGTGATGATTGGTGTCTATAGAGCTTGGTATACATTATTGAATGATTGAGGGTTGGAAACACCAAAGAATAGATCCATAACTAAGGTTAACTGATGAATGTCTTGCTACAGCAAGGGAAATATTGTATCAATTTCCCCTCTTTATCCATTGGAAGAATAATGTCACATATCCTTCAAAGAGTTTGTTTTTATAATAAGCTTTGCAAGATTCATTTGCAGATTTCCTTAATTTTTAGTTTTGTTCAGCAAAATTAAGGATCCTTTTAGTTTTGTAAGGCCCAGTGAATCAGAGGAAGGACTTTTGTTTCCCACTGCCTAGGTGTCCACAAACTTAAGGAGTAATATGAAAAGATGTCTTGGGGTTAGGGATATAAGTCAGGGGTAGAGTGCTTATCTAGCCTGTGTGAGGGCTTATATTCAATCCTCAGTACTGCAAAAAAGAAAAGTCGTAATCTTGAGTTAATACCAAAATATGAAAACAAAGGTGAATCCAGAGATAAAGAAAAGTTGGTGCAGAAACTCCATATACAGAAAGCTATCTATAGTAAGGATCAAGTACCTAGTTGATTACAAGTGAAGGCATGATGACTAAGAAGAGCAAGAATAATTGTAATTTTTAATATTTGTTGAGCACTTAATTGTACCAAGCACTGAGCTAAGACTACTTTAGGGGAGTGTTTTTTTCTAATCCATAGGAGGTAGGTCATTTTATCTCTAGTGTACTGCTAGAAAACTGAGATTTAAAGGGGTTTAAATCTAGTTTAAATCTTGTTTGCTAGTAAATGGTAAAAGTGGGATTTTGAATCAGTTACCCAGAGCTTAGCTACATGAATTTTGCCAGGTGTGTTGGCGCAAATCCTGTAATCACAGCAACTTGGAAGGCTGAGGAAGGAGGATCACAAGTTCAAGGCGGACCTCAGCAATTTAGCAAGGCCCTAAGCAACTTAGAGATCCTGTCTCTAAAATAAAAAAATAAAAAGGGATAGAGATGTAGCTCAGTGGTAAAGTGCCCCTGGGTTCAATCCCCAATACCAATAAAATAAACTGTTTGTGTTTCCCAGTGGCCACTATTTTTCAAAATTAAGTTATTCACATTTTTTACGTTCTCTTCAAATCATCTGTTACTTAATATTTTTAATTGTTTTCTATCTTTTAATTAAGTGAATTTAAAACAAAATTTACATAATTGTTTGGTGTTACTTTTTTCTAATCCTGTAACATGTTTTAAAATAAATGTATAATCATAAATACTTCAATTGGACCACATAAGATAACCTACTATACCACCAGTCTTTTGCATTGTCCTCTTTGGGACATGACTGCTGTAAGAAATTTTGAATACTGTGAAGGATCAGGCAATAGTTTGAGTTAATAAAGGTTAGAAGTGATGAAAGTCTGGAATGGAATGGATTCATCAAACAGAAAATGGTAGCATTTACAGAAATAGGATATAAATTCAAGTCGTAACTACATACTTGGAATAACCATTTTCATGATTAACTGCAAAGGAGTAGGTTTCTTTAGGTAAAGAAATGTAATAGGATGTCTAGGATAATCTATGACAAGAGAAGAACAAAAATTAATATGTGAAGAAAGAAGTCACTATAGAAATTGATTGTGAAGAGAATTCGTGAAATTAGAATCTTTGAAACCAAATGTAGCAGAGTTCAGGAAAATATGTAAGAAGTGGCCTTTGGATTTTGTTGAGATTCTTGATAACCCTAAAAGAATTTTAGGTCAGGTAATGAGGATGAAAGGTTAAGGTGCAGGGCAGACGTTAAGTCAGGAGGCTTGATCTTGTGTTGAATACTCAAAATT